CAACAGAGCTCACTGTGTACTTGATAGCTTGAGCTACCTTTCTACTATTTAAATATACATATATATCTGGTATGTGAAGATTTATGTACAAAGATGTCTATTTCTCAGTAGCTTATAATGAAGGAAAACCCCACAGTGTCCAAAAATCTTTATATATCTACTGGAATTGTTTGGGACACTTTACGTAAGGTTTGGTATACCTCCAGGATGGAGTGTCATTTCACAAGTAAGAGTCACACTTACCAACTCAAATGACTTTTTTTTTCTTTGCTATAGGGCACATGCACTTGCCAGAGAAAGAGAGAGATAGACAGAAAGTGAGAAATCACCCCCTGGGGGGTAGACACGCCGCAACCCCTTTTCCTCCATTTTCCCCTTGAGATTTTGGGCACAAAAGTTCACGTGCCTGGCGTGAGTTAAAACCACCCAGTCCAGACCTTGAGCCGTGCTCGGCCATGTGGGAGTCTAGTGCTGTAACCATTGCTTCATCTGCTGGTCCCCCAGTTCAAATGTCTTCGAGCTGGTGAATGGATAAACGAACTGCAATACAGCTATCCTGTGGAAAACTGCTTAGCAATAAAAAGTAACTAGCTATTGATGTGGTCAACAAAATAGATGAGAATCAGATGCATTGTGCTAAGTGAAGAAGTATTTAAAGGGCATTTCAAGAAAGTCGAAACCATGGGAACCTCTGCAGATCAGTGGTTCCTGGGGGTCAGACTTGGGGAGGTTTTAACTGAGTGAGAAGAAAATTTGAGGGAGTTGGACTATTTTGCATCTTGATTATGGGGGATGATGGTTACCTGAAGTTATTTGTCAAAATTCTTAGAACTGTACATCAAAAAGCAAATTTCACTGTAGGTAAATTAAAAAGAAATGTTTTCAGGAAACATTTAATCACATAGGAAAATGGCAACAATAAACAAGATAATATAAAAAATGGATACAATCCAATGATCTAAAATGTAATACAAACTTTTAAAATTATATTGTAAATGTATTTTTGTATGATACACATATATTGTAATGAATGAAGGGAAAGTAAATAAACCAAAAGGCAATTATTTTGGGGTGGTGGTTTCATCATTAACTCTATTTTTGACTTTTTGTATTATTCAAATTTTCTCCAATAAGCATGCATTACATTAATCATCAGCAAAAGAGAAACACAAGACTTCTTCATGGCCCAGCAGTAACACCACACCTAAGTGATGGCAAATCTGTATGGAAGACATAGGAGTCCAGTCCCTTGGGCCACCTGAATGTGCTGGGCCATCACTCCCATGATCCTGGCTGGCTGTGGACACTGAGGGGAGGCAGCTGATGGGTGGCAGTAGCTAGGCTGCTCAGCAAACCCACAACTCTGTGTCTAGAATTCCTGCTTCTTTTTTTTTTTTTTAAAGGATTATTTTATTGATTAATTAATTAATTAATTAATTATTTAAATTTGACCAGAGAGGGAGAGAGAGAAAGAGAGAGAAAGTGAGAAGGCAAGCCAGCCGGTCCAGGACTTGAACCGGGGCCATCTGTGTGGGAGTCTAGTGCCCTTAACTATCACGCCACCTGCCTGCCCCTCTGCTTCTTTACTCATTGCCCTTTGTCTCAGAGAGTGACCTTCCTAACTTTGCCACTACTCAAGCTGTGTGGATACTGAGCAAATATTCACTGTGAATCTAGGAAACTGCAGTTTATGATCACTGTATATAACATACATTTACAACTCAATCTCATAACTCTCTAGAGGTCATTCTCAGACATTGCCCTGAGCAGGTCTCAATTTCTCATTGGAAATTATGTAACAGCTTCCTTATCAGTTTTCTCTGCCTTCCATCTCTTCCTCTTCTGATTCCTCCTCCCCTCCCACTATTATCCCTTCTTTATGGGGTCTACACATAAGTCTGCCCTGCCCCATGCTGCTCAATCCATGAGTTGTCCCTGTTCTAACAGGAGCTGCAGGCCACTTGAATGTCACCATCAGTTAGTCCATTGTCATCATTATCATTATGACCATTGATTAACTTATGCTTGTCATGCTTCCACCTTCTCTGCTCAACATACACCCAAGCTGGTGGAGCAGTGGATTCCTCCCTCCAACCCAGGACACTCTGGGGCTGGTTGAGGTAGGACACAGGGAGTGAGTGTGGGATGGGAAGCAAAGCAAGATCTGAAGAGTTAAGGAAACAGACCATGGGAAGTAAGACTGTGGAAGAACAAAATCCATGATCTGAATGCAGTGAAAATTCATTGGGACAGCACTGGTGTGTTTTGTAAAAGTGATGTCAGTTTCTCAGAGAAGCTATCCTAATTGGGTACCGTCAAACAAAGTTTGTTGTCCTAACTCATCTATGCCCTCTTTACTCCCCCCACAGGGTCTCTTTGCATTGATTTCCCTTCCTGCTCTGCCATCCATTCGGCAGACTTTAAGACCCACCATAGGCATGACCTCCTCCCTGTGCCCTTTTGCTGCCTTTTCTGCAGCAGGGCTGTAGCTTTCTTTGGTTTCTTAACCACCCCTGTCCCCAGTTTCACGAATTCCTCTAACATGGTCCATCTCTATGGCCTTGTAATTTGGGTCGTGCCCTGCTTTCACTTCCATTCACCCTGGCATTGAGGACTCCCCATCTTTGCAGCCCTGGCCATGATGGCCATACCTCTACACATGGTTTGAATGAGAGAATGGGTAGCCAAATGAGCTGAGTTTCCGGCAAGAAGACATAGGTTGGTGATTCTTTAATTGTTTGTTGTTGCAAAAAGTCAGGAAGGGTACAAGAGATTAAAAGCATCTTACATCATACCTTTCCATATTTACTCTATACCTCTGTAAAACACTTGAATTGTGTGATATTACCTCTGTGTGTGTGTGTGTGTGTGTGTGTGTGTGTGTGTGTGTGTCTGTAGAAGAGAGAGAGAAGATGCCAACTGGCATAAGACTTTTGGGTACCCAGAAAGGAAAGGACACAACCAATTGTCAATTCACGCTATGTCTCAGGATCAGCTGGCTCCTCAGGCTAATCCCATGGAAGCCCCAGCCAAGGGGCATCTCTCAGGCTAGGCTTGGAGAACACAGTGTCCACTGCCTTTGAGTTTCCTGGGTTACGAGGCAACTCACATGGTCACTCGCAACACACTGACCAGCAACTTAATTAGATGCTGGCATTCTGAGTTTCATGGAAAAGGAAAATGCTTTATTTTCTAAAAACGAAAATAACTTTTTTTTCTGAATATAAAAGTAACAATATCTGCTAAGTAATAATATCTAAAAAATGTACATAATACAAAAAATGATGAAGGCAATAATAGCTATCACTGTATGCAAAAGATGGGACTTTTAAGTATATATACTCTTATATGTATTCACATTTTTCTTTTTGCCTTTTTAATTACTTTTAACATTTTACATTTAATTATTGTATAGCTTTACAACATACAAAATTGTTTCTCCCAATGTAAATATGGTGGATCTCAGTCAAGTTAAGGATATTACCATATACCTTATCATCAACAGATAACTTTTCAATTTCGTGTCCGTTAAACATTCCTGTTCTTTTTTCCCCCGTGTTCCCCCCTCCCATTCTACTATCCACTCCCTTCTGTACTGTCTTTAGCATCCACAGTAGCCCTCCTTATCATTATAACATCCAATTTTTTCAGTTTCTGCCATATAGTGCAGACATTTGGTATATATTAAGGGGAGACATACAATGTCTGTCTTTCACAGTCTGGTTTGCTTTCCTTAACATTAAATCTTCCATATTTGTTCGCTTTGTATCATATGTCAAGGTCTCATTGTTTCTTAAGACTTAGTAGTATTCTATAGTATGTAAGTGCCACACTTTTTCAATTCATTCATTTGTTCTTAGACATTTAGATGGATTCCATGTCAACCCAATTGTGAATATTGATTCAATAAACATAAATGTGCAAGTGATTTTCTGACTTTGTGTTTTTCTATTTTTTAAATTGTTATTTCTATTTCTTTTATACATTCAATCATATTACTTAGCTTACAAAGTGAATATTACAACATGCATACATTTCTCACCAATCCAGTTCATACTAGAAAGTTATCTTCAATAGATAATAATCCATTTCTTTGTCCCATAAATACCTTGCCTCTCTATTTTTCTCCTTAATGTCCTTCCTCAGACTCTACTCCTTCACCCACCGTCTTCCCACACTGTATCTAGTATTCACAACCATTTACTTAGTTTCTATAGCCTTTAGTCATTCAGTTTCAGCCATAGAGTGTGGACACTCAGTATATATTAAGGGGAGACATACAATGTCTCTCCTTCATTGCCTGGTTTGCTTCACTCAGCAGTAAATCTTCCATATTCATCCACTTTCTGTCAAAAGTCAGGGTCTCGTTTTTTATGGCTGAATAGTATTCCATAGAGTATATGTGCCATAGTTTTTCAATCTATTCATTTGTTTGTGGGCATTAGGGTTGGTTCCATCTCTCAGCAATTGTGAATAATGCCACAATAAACATGGATGTGCAAGCACTTTTCTGAGTAAGAATTCCTCTGTCCTTTGGGTAGATACCAAGAAGTGGGATTGCTGGATCATATGGTAGTTCTATTTGTAAGTC